CTGTCACCTTCACCTCATTTCCACCTTTTGGCCACTTGCTCTCATGACCTTGACTTTGCTGAGAAACAGTTCATTATCTGTAATCTGAAATCCATCTTCCCTGTTTCTCCCTCTCGCCCACCCCATACAGCCCTCTATTCTCTTTCTATTGATCTGGGAAACTGCGGTTTGTCACTCAATCACTCTCTTCCCAATATTGTCAGCACATATTGGCCTTTTTCTCACTGCAGTCAGTAAAACCTTAGCCCTGGATTAATCCACCTGTCTGCCTTCCTGGCCACTGATCACCACAGTGGAAAATCAAACATCCTCACAGATGGGCATCACAAAAATCCATAATCTTTAGCTTCTGATGAACTTACGGTACTGCCCCTCAAACTTTGTGTGTGTTGGTAATTGGCTTTCTTACTCCACAGTTTTCCAAATCTCTCTTCTCTTAGATCCTTTCCCATGCCATTTCCCACCTGCTCTCAGAAGATGTCACTTAATACTTCACATCCTAATAGTATTTATCTCATGAAGAGTCATTTGATTTCCTATTCCTACTTTTACGGACTTATAGGCACAAACATCATGCCTTCCTCCTGCCCTCCCACATTCCCACAAGAGATGTCTGCCTTCCTCATTGACCTAGTTCTATCACTCCTGCCTTTTATGAATTACATCTTCAAACTTGAGAATGCTTTCCTGGCTTCTTTCTGTCATGACCAAATATTTCCCACCTGAAAAAATCTTAAAAAATCAGTACATCAATCAATTCCATTCTCCATTTGTTTGGTTTTATCTTCTCTACTCTTTTTCAAAGCCAAATCTGTTCAGTTTCTGGCACTTGCTACATCTACTTCCTTTAAGGATATTCACTATCTCTGCCCTTCCCCTTAACCACCACCCCATTAAATTGACTAGTGCTCTCTATGTAACTACATCCAATGACCTCTTTTAAGGAGTCATCTTACTGCACAGTCCTCTCTTGAAAAACTTTCAACTTGCTTTGGCTTCGTTTGAAACCTTATAAGCTTGGTTTTCCTTCTGTGTCTGTAGTTGTCTTTCCCAATCTTTATTTTAGGCTCCTTTTTTCTGCACGCTTTGTATTTTCAAGGATCTGCCTACTTCTCTTCATTCTAAGCACATTCTCTGGGTGACGTGACTTAATTCCATGGTTAACTTTAAAAGTCATCTCTAGCTAAGAGCTGTCTTCTAAGCTCCAGACACACGTATCCAAATATTCATTGATTATTTCCATTTGGATGCCTCATAGACCTCTCAAGCTCAACATGTACTACATTGAACTTGGCTTCTTTCCTGCAAAACTTGATCATCTGTCCTCTGGTTCAGATCTCGGCAAATGACACCTCAGGCCATTGAGTTGCCAGGAACTTAAGGAACTATCTCAACTCTTGTCTATCCTTCTAGTCTGACAGCCAGTCAGTTAATATGTCACACGTTTGTTAACAATCCATTCTCATTTCCACAGCTTGAGCACATGCTAATTTCATTTCATACTTGGGTTCTTGAGTTCTGATCCCCTTTTCTAGTTTTGGATCTCTTCAATGCAATCACCACACTGTATCTAGGTGGTCATGTCAGTCTCCAACTTAACACCTTTTAGTGTTTATTGCCATCAGGATACAGCTCAAGTAACCATATCTGTTGATTTTGCTCCCATCTTATTTCTCCAGGCTTGTATTCTCTATTCCCCATCTCTCTTTGGGTCTCTGCCCCAATGGACCATCTCTAGTTCCTTGAATTTGCCCTACCCTGCTAACCATGAGCCTTTGTATATGCTGCCCCCTTGGTCTGAAACTTTTCTTCTCCAACTTATTTTTTTACTTGGATAATCCCCACGTATTCTTATGTCTCCACTTAGAGGTTTCTTCTCCTTTTCCTGAATTCTCTACTGTATGTTGATGTTTCTCTTTGTGCCACCACAATACCTTGTAACAAGAATGATTAATACACTTGTTGCTAATAACATTTGAACAATTATTTTATGCCAGCATCTGTTCTCAGTGGGCTATGTGTCTTAACATCTGTAATGCTCACAATAACCTTATGAGGTAATTGTTGTTATTTCTTCAGATAAGTGATATGAGCTACAGAGAAGTAATTTTCACAAGGTTCTACAACTAGTGACTTATGTAGATTTTTAACTCAGGCACCTTATTGAAGAATTTACAAACTTAAACATATTTGTCTATATAGAAACAATTTTGACACTGTATTGTAATCATCTGTTTATATCTAAATTCCTAATTCAACCCTAGGTTCTTAGAAGGAAGCTGTATCCCTAGCCCCCACCACAATGATGGCCACATAGTATGCTCCCGGTAAATATTATTTGAATAAATAAAAGAACAAGGTGACCTGTGACTCAAAGAGTCCTTGCCTAAAATCAGATTTACCCTGACCTAGCCTATTTCATCCCCAAAATGCCAGGTAACTGACTACCAGCAAATCACCCTACACATTTTTGTCTCCAAGACTTTACATATCCTGTCCTGTTCCCTTTGTGTGCCTTTCCCACTCTTGTTCAACTGCTCAAGTCCTATTTGCCCTTCCCAATCCAGCTCAGAATTCACCTTATTCCTGATCTTCTTTTTAGATTCTAGATTTTGGCTCCTTCATACTTTACACATTGAAACATCACAAGCAGTGACAACCACCATAACAGCAATATTAAATTAGACCATGATTTTTTTTTTTTTTTTTACCATTGATCCATTTTCTAGTCATCTTTGTATCCAAGTGTAGTGTTTAGCACTCAGAAGGTGTTCAATAAGTGTTTGATACTCGGTTGACTAAATGATATTAGGTTGGGTTATGTCTCTGTAGATCACGAAGCAGACGCCTTGAACTCAGATACATTATGGCAGTTGAGTCAGCTCTGGCACCTGCCAAAGAACCGATTATTATTTGAATTGTCCAAAATGGGCATATTGGGAGATATGAGAGGAAACTGTTACAACACCTCTGTCTGTTTTATGTGACTGGTTTGGTCAATGGTTGGACAAAGGATACACTATTTTTCAAAAGTCATTCAAGTTATGCCCACCGGATAACTGACAAACTCTTGGGAGGTAAGTCTCTTTTTATTTAGCTGTAGACCAAAGATGCCAAAGATGTCCATGCAAATTGGTAAAATGTCAAACCACCACTCCAAACTTGGGGAAGTGACTGTACCACTCCCCACTCCCCATGTTATTATTTTTTATTACATCTATATTAGTCTCTTCCTTCATGCTCTACAGCTGAAATGTCATCATTTTTTTTTATTCTAATGATATCATATTTGGCTTTGCTAACTGTTCTGTTATTGTTTTTCTGTTCCTTAGGCACACACAAAATTGCCAGATGAAGTTTCTCCAAGCACTACTTTGATCAAGTTATTTCCCTGCTGAAGAACTTTCAGTGGTACTTGTCTATGGAGTTACGTGGGAGCTCCAAGCAGCCGGGTGTCCTGCCTCAATTGATCTGTGTAAGAGCCTGACCGATGGCTGATACCTAGGAAGCGCTCTTGAGGTTTCCTTTTTGTTGTTGTTTTTCATTTAGTTCTTGAAAGTGAAATCAGGAAACTTAATTGAAGGAATTTCCAATTTGTGTCTTTCACCAAGAAGAATATTAGAGAATTATCAAGAGTGGAAGCCACATGTTAAATAAAGTAAAGACTCTATGCATTGAACAAAGTATCTTCTCAGGGATCCCATATCCTAAATGAAATAGGCACATTAAGATATGACAGGTAATACACTTTGGGAGAGATAAGTGATATTTTAATTAATGACAATTTGTAGAGATCTTCAAGAGAAGCAAAGTGACTTTACAGCTGAAAGCTAACTCGTTGTTTCTCCATTGGATTTCTAAGATGAGTATTCAGCCATGAGCATAATTAAACAAGTCCACAAGACATGAGAAATGGATTACCCTTCAGATTCTGGGTCAGGCAAACCAGGTGGTCAAGAACACAGTGTTCTCTGCTTGAAAACCACTGTTCGGTTGCCAGACTTCACCGCCCTTTGGGCTCTTTCGTTCTATTTCTGGCCTTCGTCTCTTGCTCTGTCACACCAATGCCCTTCTTGGTTTAGATTTTATGTCCTCATCATCTAACACATCAAAGGATCAAAGAGTTCAAATCTCCTCAGGCTGCCAGTATTTTATTTAGTTAAAAAAATAAACAAAAATGAAAAATTATGCCCATTTTCCTCTTTGCAAGAAACCAAAACTCAAAATTAAGGCGAAAGCACAGAGGAGGAATCTGCACAGTTCAAAACAAAAAACCGACCTCTTCATGTACATATACCCTCTTACAAACTGCACCGCTGAATTTTATGAAACAATTTAAATATTGCTAATTAAAATCCTCAGGATGCTAACGCATTCTCAAATCAACCTCTGCCACTTTGTTGTACGGATGCAACATTGGCAGATTCTCTTTCAATATCCAAAATACCATTTTTGGAACAAACTTGAACTTTTGATTCATTCAACAAACAATTATATTAAGCACCTACTATGTGTCAGACACTATGCTGGGTGCCGAGCAAGCAAAATGGAATGACTTTCTGATTTCAGCAGAATTCTGGTCTCTAAAGCAGTGCTTCTCAAACTATTTTTTATTAAGCTGTGCCCTCTTTTGATAAACATGAATATCCTTTCCCCACTTCCCAGAAATTGTGACGAACCCTTCTAACAGTGAGAATCGCTGATACACAGAACATAGACTCTATTTTCTGTGTATTCTTCACAGACCAAATATCTTTGAGCTTTTACTTTTTATTTTAAAAACAACATACTTATTTTCCATATACAAAACTGGATTGGAATAGTAATGGTACTTTTTTCTGAACCACATAAACTACCCCACTCTCGATCCCAGAGCTAAAATTTAAATTCCCTGTACCCAGCCCTATTGAGAATCACTGCTTTAAAGAGTTTTGGAGAAAACCAGGCAACCTCCATCTCTCCCCTCCAATCAAATCTTAAAGGAATTAGAATTTTCCTACCTGACACAACAGCTGGTGGAGTATCATAATCCTGTCTTGGGACTGAATCTTTGAATGAAAAGAGCATGAGAGAGAATGCAATGAAGTACAAAAGAAAATAAAATAGAATCTTAGCTCTAAAACGTGGAAGTGCCCACTGTATGTCATATGATTGCCTAAGCCCCCTGCCTTGAAACACTCAACTAGGGACTATGATCCCTAGTTTATAGTTGATACAATGGTCCCCAGTACTGTCACATGGTACCTGTTGTTAGGCCCCGTTGTGACCTGCCAGAGCAGTACATGCTATCCTAGAACGCTGTCAGCTTCCTCAGTCTGTCATCATTTGGGCCCCTTCCATTGGGAAATCAATGTGGCATTTTTACCCTCTCTGGTTGACACACATGTTCTACAAAGGAGCCCATCTGGAAGGGACCCAGAGCACAATGTGAAACGAAGTTCAGGAGAACAAAAGAACTGAAATTTTAAAAGATAAATGAAAAATTTGTAGACTCCCACACTCTATGGAGACTGATGCACTTTGAGACTAGGGTTTTGTTAGTAATCACTCAGCTCTGGCTCTGATACCAGTGGCTGTTGGACAAGGCCAAGGAGCTTCGTGTGCTGGAATCGTGAGAGCAGAGATAAATAGAAAAGAATCCATTCAACAGATGATTGCCATCTTTTTCCAGTGTCATAGCATTGGAAGTGGCAAATAGTAGGGAAAGGTTAACTTAAACTACATCGCATCCATGTCAGACTTTCAGGTTATATGAAGCCAAATACATCTGTGTTTTGAAGATGAAACTTTGGCTTAACACAGTTCTTTAAACCAAGGATCTTGAAAAAGGTAAGTGGGACATGGCTTATGGCCCAAGGCCCCCCTTCTAAAAATGGCCCCAACTCCCCTTAGAGAGGTAAACTGTGTAAAAGGGATCAGGTAGTGCTCATATTCAAATAAACTTCTAAAACATGATTAAATAAAATACATGCTCTTGTGTGACCCTTATTCTATTCACATAACCAGTATTCATTGCATTTTTAAAAACTAAAACCTCAAACTTTATTTTCCTATCTTTCTCCATTTTATCTCCTTGCCACAAAAGGATGATGATAATCCCCCTTTCAAAAGCAAATGGCATGTGAGAAGATACAATAAAACTTGGACATTGCAAGGCACTTTGGACCAGCAAAATCCAACATGGATCAAAGATTCAAATGCAAATAAACCTTGGGCATGAGCTACTTTGTGTCTCAAAACAGGTATGTGAATGTGAGTTGATCATAATAATCTCCAAATCTGGCATAAGTAGAATCATATCGAAAGGGCCTTCAAATATTTTATTCATAGTGGTAGTATTTCCTAATACCTTTAAAAAAAACTGTAATCACACATTATTACTACAAACTAAAAAAAGTTGATTTAAAGACCATGTCACTAGTCATTTCCCAAGAATATATTTTTAACATTTAAAAATAAATCATAAAAGTAAATCATGCTCATTGTTGAATACTTGGAGAATGTAGAAAAGTAAAATGATTAAAATAGAAATGATCTCTAATCCCATTATCCAGAAATAGCCACACTTATTTTGTATTTCTTACAGCCTTATTTCGTAAATATTTTGTTCATAGTTGATACTCCACACGTGAAAATTTACATCCTGCTCTTGGACTTACGATTATAAATAATCCTTTTCCCATCTTAAACTCCTATAACTTCATGCTGCCTCACATTCTGGTTCATGGATGGATTATGATTTATTTAGTCATTCTACTTCTTAGACATTATAAAGAACACTGGGCCAGATATTTCTTAGGTCTAAAGGCTTTTCTGTTATTTTAGATTATTTCCATAGAATACCTTCTCAAAACTGTAACTGTGTGGTGAGTCGGCAGAGCTGTTTTGAGGTGTCTTGACTGTCCACTTTGCTGTTCAACAGACACTTTTACAAATTTACATTTCTATCATCACACCATCAGTGATTGAGAATGTTCATTTCCTCACACCTTCATCAGCAATATGTTTTATCTTGGTAACATCATTTAACGGGTTATGTGTATGGGTCCATTTGAATATTTGATTAACTCACTGTGTCTTTAATTACTATTTTTTCATATGCTTTTTGGCATCCTGTTTTTTCCTTCATTACCCTATTCATGTTATTTGGCATTTTATCTATTGGGGCTTTTGTATTCTGTTGCTAATGTATTTGAATTCAGAATCCATTTTTTTTAAATAGTAAAAGCTTAATATTTGCAAATAAACTTTCACAATATTTGACCTTCACTGAATGCGTATTTATTGTTTCTAAGACTGCCATTAGAGTTCATCTATCATATGCTAAGACTAAAACAAATTTTTAAAACCACTTCCTCTTATCTGTATTTTCTTTCTTGTATCTGACCATTTTTTAATTAATCGATACTTTCCCGGCAAGTATACTCACTACCACTTATGAATTTATAATACTATTTCCTAACTCTGAGCCCACCTAATAGCGTGTGTTGCTTTTTATCACTGTCAGCCTTAATACTCATGTTCATAGCTAGTACTTAAAGAAAGACAATCTCTAAGCAAAATGAATAATTCATGATTTTCACCTGAGACCGTTAGAATTTGACAGCAGTAAGAATGAAATGGTGTGACTGAAAAATGTAGAGAACTATGGTGAATAATGGACTACAATTAGAAGATTATCTTTGTGAGTGGCTATGGTGACACCATGGGAAACCAGTGACCTCACAAATCACCAGTGGTTTGGAAAGCACAAACACAACTGCAGATAAGGAGTCTGCAGAACAAAAACTTCTTGTTTCTCTGAATAGATTCTGGTGACATTGGAAGCCACTGGTGACCACCAACTGAACAAATGAAAAGGAGATAAGAAACTTGTAAAACAAGATTGTCATGCAATTTGGAGGTTCTCATAACACAGCAAAATCCCCAGTGGTTTCTGCGAAAGCTCACAATAGACTGATAAGAAGTTATGGATAACAGTGCTTTGGTTCTATAGAGGGAATCCTGTGACAAAAAATAAACAAAAGCAGAAAAGCTAGAGAATTCTTCAAGGTCATCAGAGCCTTGGATAAAAGTTACACTGCTTGCATACAATTCGTTTCTTTAAAGGCCTGCAGATTCTGTCTAGCTTAAAAATAGGTAGAGAGCCATTTGAGGTGGCAAATGGCAGAGATAAGTTAAATAAACTACATGGTATCCATTTTAAAATTGGGGGTGATGGGGGAGTCAAATATATCAAATTTTATGAAGGTAAAAAAAGAGGCTTTGGCTTAATATACTTCTTTACCTCAGGGATCTCAGAAAAGTGGAACATGACCTATGGCCTAAGGCTCCCATTCTAGAAATGGAAATTTCTAATCTAGCTCCAATTTCCATCAACCCTGATCCCTGCCTACTTTGGATTATTCACTGGATCTCTCTCTGCTTCTGCCACCGAGGTTCCTGTCTTTATCTTGAGTTGTTACTGCTCACACCTCATTTTGCAGAGTTTCAGTGAGCTCAGAACATCTGAAAGACTCTGAAAAGTTACAGGTAGGACAGAAACATTGGTCAGATAATCTTAGATTGCTTGTGGCAACATGGTAGAAAATGGATTGGAGCAAACTAGGGAGGTAGAGACTCCACAAATGTGGGGGAGCGGATGTATTTGACAAACGTCTATGGGACAGAATTGGTGGATCTTTAAAAGTTGTAAATGGTGGTGAAGGAAAAGGAAAGAACCTAGACTGAGTCCTAAGTGCAGCGTTTGACTGCCTGGGTCATGGGATTCATTTGAGAAGGAATAAGGAGCAGAAACCCATAAAAGGAAGAGGGTCAGTGGAAAGGAAGTTCAGGGAAACTCATGAAATTAGTTTGGGTTGTAGCGACTTTGAGATGTCAGAAGGAGATTTACATGGAGATATTTAGCAAGTTGTTGGTTAAATGATTTTAAAAGTCTAAGATGAGGTTAGCATTGAGGACTCAGATTCAGGGATTTTCAGCATAGAAGGCAGAGTTCAAAACCAAGAAAGTGAATGAGCTTGCTTAAGGAAATCATGTTTGAATGAGAAGTTAAAAATGGAACCCTGGCTCAGCATCTTGTGAAAGAAAAGAAGAAGCAATGGCCAGAGACGTCAGAGAGAATGAGGAAAACAGTGGGCAGAAGTCACAAACTAAGAGGACTTAGGACGAACTGGTCTGATATTCAAATATAGGGAGATTTTCTGTTAAAATGCAAATACTTAGCTTAATCTTAAAAAACTGGAAGGTGAGGCCATCTTCGGTCCTTATGTCCATGTAGCAATAACTGTCTAGAGTTGAGCAGGGGCTGCCCTTTTAGACAAGGCATCTGTGTCCCAGGCTGCCAAGGTACCCCCTCTCCCTACGACTGACTCCTCTAATACTCAGGCAGAGATGATGTTATCATTGCATGAAAATATCTCTAATTTAAAATATACTCTCCAATATAATGTGTATTTATATTGCATGACTATGGCTGTGACAAGAATAAGTATAGACCAAATTTGATTATATATTTCTAGGGTTTCTTGCTTGAACTTAGTCAACTTTATTCATTCATGTGACCTAGTTGGTTTCTCTGGACTTTTGGGTTTACAACCCTGAAAGAATTAGAAGCTAAGGAATAGAAACTCGAAAGAACTAAGTGGTGCCAAATGAAATAGAGCAGGCCAGAGAGTTGTTCTATGGCCTTGGTGGTGTTCTACCCCCTTCTGGTGACTTGGACTAAATTCCCACGTTATGAAGCCACCGGAGATAGTGGGGTAAAGGCAGCTCATTTGATAAGCACCTAGTGGGTATCACACTGTATTAGGTATATTACATATATCATCCCACTTAATGCTCACAACACCACTGCGATGTAAATACTATTTTCCCCCTTGACAAAAGAGGAAATAAAAGTTCAGAGAGGTTAAGAAACCTAACATGCATAGCCAATAAGGGGCAGAGCCAGGCTTTGAACTCAAGTTTACCTCCAATGCCCACTGTTCTTTCCGTAACACCAGCCTACCTTCCGAGCAGTAGATAAAACAATTGAAAAGATGCAGTAAGGTGGAGAAATTTGACTAAAAGAACCAATTAAAAAAAAAAAAAAAAGAATTTCAATTGCATAATATCCACTACAAATGCCAATCAAAAATTCAGATGAAAGGAATCTACGACAGCATATCCAAGTATAAGACTGATAGTTTGAGAAAAGAGTATAACAGTATTCTGGACACTAAACATCAACAGAATAGTAATGTTTTCTCTCTGCTTTTCCAGAGCCTTATGGAATTTTAACCCTTGACAAAATATCTGTTTACACAAAGTTTATGATGTACCTAAGCATGATTTAGTATAAACGTGAAGGGGGAAAAGAACGAGATAAAAAACAAAACTAGAAGAAATGTAGTGTTCAAAATAAGCCACCTGCTTAAAACTTCTGCTCTCGAAGAAAGGGAGGGAGTATATATTATTATTAAGTAATTTGGCTATTACTAGCTGGGCAAAAATTATGATCTCATATGAATGTGTTCTTGTTGAAAATGCTCAAATACGAATCATACTTAATATATGTTATTGAATCAGCAACTATTGTAATTCTGAATCTACTCTACATATTTTAGCTTATTTTTCAATTCTCTAAAGGATTCAGTCATATTCTCAATTAACATAGCTCTTGTATTTTTTTCTAGTTGGCAAATTTCAACTTCAGCAACTCAGCTGGTTTTGCTTTTAATTCAAATGAGTAGGGTTTATACAGTGTTTGTGTACTTTGTGTTATAATTCACTCTTTTACCAGACCCTAGACTGTCGTTCAATATAGTAAGAGTGCATTACTTCACTTGTTCAGAATTTATGCTTTCAAGGAGAGGAAGGCTGATATGAAGGGAAGTCAACAGGGCAGACATGATAAACTTCAGTTTCTCCCAATAAACTTGGAAATTGCTTTGTTAGTAAATGAGCCAAGTGACTACAAATAACACTTACACCTTACTAAAAAATATCTCCCTGATGAAAATTAGCTGTACGACAATGTAGAGTTAAATGTAGTCTCAGACATGACATTTGAAAGCCTAGGTCAGAGACCTGAGAAATTATTTGATCCAACGACTGCCTTCAGACAGGTAAGGTATCATCAACTGCTTTTTAGAAGTTCAGCAGCTGAAGTCTTCAAGATAGGTACTTGGTTTACGCTAATAAAACTGAATGTCTTTATTGAAATAATGTGACTCTTTCCTTTAGGTATATGGACTTTCTTCCTATTTAGAGCAAATTTTTGTGGGCTCAGTGGACATGTCAGAAACTCCTTACATTCCAAAAAGCCTATGAGTCAACACATCTATGTGACAAGGAAGCCATTGCTTTAAGGTAACATTTCCCAAATATGGCCAGTGTACATAGATATTTGGAGATGAGGCCAGCATAACTGAGAAGAGTCACAGAAGTGGTGACTAGAAGACATGGACTTAAAGCCACTGAGGCACATAGTCAAAGAGCCCCCATATATCACTATGCTCAGTACTTTAGCCAGATGGAGAGGGAAATTGAGACTGGAAGAGATTATTTCCCCAAAGACAAAGTGAAAGAACAGTGCTCAATCAAGGTTTGAATTCAGTACTCCCAAATCCTGGTCCAGTGCTCTTTCTATAATAATTAAGCTGCCTCAATGACAAAAAAAAAAAAAAAAAAAAAAAAAAAAAAAAAAAAAAAAAAAAAAAAAAAAAAAAAAGATTAAAAAAATTTCTACATCTTTAAAAAATGAAAAAATTATCTGCACTAACATTTGTAAAAAATAAACCAATAGTGTCACATGAGAGATTGACTTTGATGTTTTCCATTATTATCTAAAACGATATTTAACCAAATTGTAGTATTCCAGGTTGTATTAGACATTTTCCCTCTTCGCCATTCGGGGAGTTGCCTTTGAACAGATTTTTAAAAATCAAATAAAATTTTGTTTATTATTTCAAATGCCTGGTTGATATAAATCAAGGCTGTAATAAGCATTTTTTTATATACTTTAGTTCCCTAAGGAAAATAATGGGTAGTCAAAAATATCCCAACCTATTGAAAAAGATCAAGAACATTAGAATCCCTTCCTTTTTTTCAACATCATGTATGTCTACATATTCAAAACAAAGATGAAAAGAACAGGATCATGTCAGGTTCTGAATTACTTTTCATTGATTTAAACACTGAAAGTAAATTAACAAGCTCTATGTATTAGTCATATCAAAGTTGGCCCCTGACTTATGAATGACCGGGGAATGATACATTAGCTGAAGTGGTAAGCATCTGGGAAAAGAAAACCAGGCTCAAGTGTATTATGTTACAAGTTCTAGATTTGCAGGTGCATTACACAGAGACACCTTTCCACAGACAGACATTATGCCTGGTACACTGTGTCATATGAACAAGAAGTAACTCAAATTTCAATGCAACACAGTGGAAACTTCAGCCTTGTCAACATGAATAAATGTGTCCCTACGCTGAATACCCATGCACCAGGCAGCTTATTCATAATGGAACCTGAAATGTGTGTTAGTCAACGGCACAGAGCCAGTGACAATGCCAGTGATAATGCCAGTAACAACAGACAACATTGCGTCTTATTGAAGAAGTCCAAGAAAACAAAACAAAACCAACTCTTCCACTCACCGTTCCTGTTGTGCCCAATGAAAGATGATTCATCTGTTGTGTCAGGGGGCCCATCATGTTTGCTGCCTGCATTGACATAGGATGGTCCATTGTCGGCGTAATCACAGCACCCTACAAGCACACACAATGTCCATCTGAAAACAGGTTCCACAAGGAAGGAAACTTAAAAAAAAATGAACACAGCGAACTGTCTCAACATCAAATGCGCTTGCTTTTTAATGAAAAGGCTAAGCTCAAGCATATATGATTTTTACATCCACCCGTGCCAGTTTGTGCTTGTCTAAATAGACAGCACTACTGACCTCCTTTTCCTCACATCTGTATGTGTCTAAAATATTTATCATTTACAATTCTAACACTGAATATAGAATGTTACAAGATACCATATGTATCTTCTTTCATTGTTCTAAACACAAACTTCTCTAACTGAAAAATATTAATACTATGGAGATTATCTAGTTTCTCTTGATACTGAATAAGAGTAACTTTTGGCTGATGCCTTTATCCATGATTGATATGGTTAATTATTGATCACCTCTATACAATCTACTACCAGGAGAATAATGCTGGCTCAGATGAGTCTCTTGACTGGATCTCTTTGAAAGACAGATTAAAATCTAACATAAATGATATAAAAATTAGACCGACTATTTTCCATGTTTTTTCCTCCTAATCTTTGACCTACTTTCTATCTGTGCTTTTGAAACAAGACAGAATACTGAACTCTGTTAAATGCTGGTCAAATGCAAGGCTGCTAAAATATTAGTGGAAAAAACAGGTCAAGCTTTTCATAAGGTGTTAGGAAAGGCCTACTTCTAGAATATGCTTTTTGATTTATTATAACTGTTGAGAATGCAAACTGTAACAGACATTTTTAAAAACTTCTGTTCATATACAAAGTTGCACGTAGATAGTAGAGCAAAGGGCAAGCCCTTTCCTTTCTTCATCCTACTTACTCTACCTTAATTGACTAGCCTGGAGAACAAAACAATATATTTTTTTTAATTGAAAAGCTAGGGCTGGATAGAATCTTTGGGATTTCAAAGCTGTATTTTAAAGATGGTAATACAGATAGAAGCTCATGGTATGGCAACTCATTTAAATACCTAGTGGTAATAAAATGATTATGTATCTGAATGCTATTTTTTTTTTCTGTAAACATTTTTCTCACTATGTGACGTTTCTCCCCCCATATAAGTGAACATTTTGAAGAACTAAAACGAGGACAGATTCATGTAGATGGCAGGATCTCACTTCCCAAATTACCCACAAGCAAATGTTTCTTAGAACGTTTCCTCAGGATGATCAATTCCTCATGGTATGTATTATCCAAATCTAATTTCCTGACTGTATCTTTTAAAAGATCGGGTTCTCACTCATCCTTCCTTTATGGGCTCACCTTCGTTAATATGGAGGGAGGACAGAAATTGAGCCAAATAGTTGGAAATGCTTGATTTTCAGAGCCAACATCATTTACAAGGACATTTGCACACGAGCTAGCATCAATCAGAAAAAATATTTTATAGGTCTGTAGCTTACAAATACACATCCTGTTCATTTTTGTTGTTTTGTTTTGGTGCATCCATGAACTGTCATTCATTGGTACGCTTCTTGAATTAAGAGACATAATAAGATAAGCTTTTACTTAATTTTTCTTTTTCTTCCTGCTGCCTCAATTTCTTTAAACAAAACCACCTTACTTTTTCCTTAGAAAACAACAACAACAACAACAAAAATTCTGGCCCTTATTTCCGGTATTTGTTGTGCTAGACCAGCAGTAAACACTTTAAGAAGAACCTGCTCCTTCTTAAATCACTTAGGGATAAACTATAGAAAAACCTCAGAGCAAAGACAAAGTCCTAAAGCATTGTTTTTCAAGCAAGAAGTGGCATTTTTCACAACATTCTAATCCTTAGCAGGTGCAAGCCTTCAATACTGTTCCCGAACTTGAAACTTAGACTACCTTCTTAGAATTTTGCCCCTAGAAGCTCCAGCAGCTAAACTGCCACCATCCCAGAAACCCCTCAATTGTCATCACCTTGCTGTAGCTACATAAAAGATTGTTCATCATAAATCAGAGATAAAGAACAAATTGTGTTTGGCGGAAAAACTTCCTTCTCTGTGCCCTAGAGGCGACCTCATTCTCCAGTGGGGCAAGAGGTAGACTTTAGTCTTTGTTTGGGAGGCAGTATGCAAATGAGATATGTGAGCATATGACAGAGGAATCAAAATCCATGCATGAAAAGAATAGAAGGACTGAACTGCCTGCATTTGGAATTAATTTAGGAAGGATTGTCTGGACTCCTCAGAATCCTTTCTCATCAAGTGTTTGGGGACTCATTTGATTACAGATGACACAGAGTGAGTGTGGCTTCTGTGGACAAACCAGAAACTGACAATCAAAGGGAAGACTAGGAAGAGATTTCTCATAATTTGGAATTGTAAATAGCAGCAGTAGGCATAAAGTGGAAAACAATTAAGGGAAACTTTCCTTTCCTAACCAGGCCATTTATTGCAAATAAATGAACAATAAAATAAGGATTCTTGGGGAAGGACATGTATGAACATGCATTCTTGTTCATATTCAGTAAACATGTTCAATGAAGAAAGGATTCCTGCAAATTATTAAGAACATAGATTCCTTAATAGTTTCAAGGGATGAAAGAAATTTACAATCAGTGGGTAAATCAGAAGTAGGAGACAGGAACCCCTTGGAGAGACTTTACTGGGGACAGACAACTTAGAGGGTTTGAAGTACAGGTTATCTATAATCAAGGAAGGTGTCTGTCAGCCACTTTGCTCATCAGAGATTACAGAATCTCCTCTGTGTTGTGCAGGGCATTAAACAAAAGAAAACAAAACAAAACAAGGAAGAGAGAAAGAAAAAAGAACAAAAAACCCTTACGTTTCTTAAGGCAAAGCTAGTGCCCCCAACCGTAACTGTGCCTCATTGAATATACTGTCACATCCATTCTTATCCAATGCATTTAAGCCATAGATTGAAGAGGGTTTTGTGACAGATGTTGCCAACACATTAAGAGTAATTTCGTTTACTCCAAATGTATAGAATGTGCTATCTGACAGAGTTCACTTGGCAAATGGCAAAGCAAGAGGAAACAGATTTTTCATTTTAGCATCTCCGGATGTCTGGGTTTGTTCAATGTTTAAGCTGCCGAGAAAAATACTGTAACGTGCTATAATTCCACTAAAAAGCACAATGACCAAACAGCTGATGGGAATGTCTGGTCTATTGTAGCCAGTGTCTCTGCAAAAACAAAGCTGTTCACACTCAAGAGATGTGGGGCAGATCTGGTCGCCCTAGTTCTGAAATAAACAATTTCAGCAGTAATCGGACAAAGTTCCCAAAGATCATTGATGTAGAGTAAACGTATCTGAACTGAGGCCAGAAAAGCATCTGTGTTGTGAACCTTCCGCCAATAGTTTAAGGAAATGTTAAGTCTTGGAGAGTTCATGAGTATTTGAATTTCTCAACTGAATTACAGGATCGGTGTGAAATCAGGGGAAACATGTGCAAGCTCTCCCCCCTCAAGAGCACACACAGTGGGCTATACTCAGGGCAGAACATAGAGGGCAAGAGAAGAGTTACCTCTATGAATACACCTGTGAGTGTTAGTGTTGTAGACCAGTGCCACGTCAAGGGTGATCCGTGGACTGGCAGCACGAGCAGACCGAGAATTGGAATCAGAATCTCTGAGCTTTCGGGTCTTGAAATCTGTGTTTCCACAAGCTTTCCAGTGGCTTCTGGTGTCCCCTGAAATTTGAGAAGTGTGCTCTTGCCTATAAAATGCTACTGTATAGGCCATAGATGTATGTATCTATAGATGTATCTATAGATGTCATAGATACAATGTCTTAGGTATAGACACGTGGTTTTATTTTATTTATACTGTTACCCGATTATTTGCTTGATACCAATGTTGCGATAGGGCATGATTATAGCCATAATAACGTTATATCTTACTTAAAAATGCAAAAAGGTCAAGCCCGAATTTTTGATGAGCTGCAATGGGGCCACTGTCTGAATAATTCAAGTCTAATCCTGATGACCTGGCACGTCTCCATTTGACCAGTGTGGCTTACGCTGTAGCATATTTGAGAATTTACCCTATTTGCAACCTTAGTAAGCCTTGAGTTCGAAATCATAATAATGTAAAAGGTAAGAAAACTATTCGAATCATGTAAGTGACAAAAAAGAAAAGGAAAGAAAAGAAATACCACTCTCTTTTTTTCTCTTTCTCATGTCTAGAAGCCTTAGGTCAAACTGTTGGTGGTCCATTGCACACTCTTTTCCTATAGTGACTTGTGCAAAACCCTAAGGCTTTTTAACAGTAATCCTTCAACATGACTTTAAAAACCATGGTTTAAGGTCACTTATCTTCTTTCTCATCTGTATGTTTTCTGCTTCTCTGTCAGTTTCCAATATTTCTAGAATAAATATGCAGTCAATTCTATGTCCACCAACCCTATTTTAGCACATGTAAAATGGAGTGTGGAGAATAATACGAGCCCACAAGGAAACTGGTTAGCAACAATAATTTCATAATATAAATAGCATGAAGGTATATCATTTAACTTGGGGGAAAAGCTACCCAACTGCAGTGTCCTGCAATGTTGGTGTGCAGCATTCCTTTTTTTTATTTATTTTTTTAGTGTTTATTCATTTTTGAGAGAGACAGAGACAGAACACGAGTGGGGGAGGGGCAGAAAGAGAGGGAGACACAGAATCTGAAAGAGGCTCCTGGCTGTCAGCACAGAGCCTGACGCGGAGCTTGAACTCACAAATGGTGAGACCATGACCTGAGCCGAAGTCGGATACTCAACTGAATGAGGCACCCAGGCACCCCAACATTCCTTATAGTATATGTACAGATGTTTAATATTTTCATCTGTTTATGTTGTCATGTTTTTCTTGTTATTGTTTCTTTTTATTATTTTCTTTCTTTCTTTGTTTCTTTCTTTCTTTCTTTGTTTCTTTCTTTCTTTCTTTCTTTCTTTCTTTCGGCAGGTGCTTGGCATGGTTTAAGAAAGGCTGCTGCATAAAGAAAACAAAAAGGGAGCAGGAAAGGCCTCCATCTTTAGAACACTCATTA